ATGAATTTGAAATTAGATATATATATATTTTTTGAATTAGCCCTCAATTTTATAAATTTAGCCCTTATTTTGAAAATTTACTATTTAAAAATAGTGATTGTCTGAAGGCAGAAAGCCAATGAAATTTTCATTGTTTTACTCACTACATAAAGACACCAAACATACTGGTGTTTTGGAAAGATGGTTAAAAAATGAATTTTTTATTTTTTTTTACTTTTTAGCTTTTTTTTTAGGAAAATGTTATGAATCCCAAATAAATTGCTAATTTTTCTATCAAACTTCTCATATAGGTGTGGGACCCACACTTATGTGAGAGATTTGATAGAAAATTTGACAATTTATTTGGGATTCCTAAAATAACTCTTTTTTTGTGAGAAAGAAAGTGGATTAAAAGCTGAGAAATGATTTTTAACCCTCTTCTCAAAATAGGCCATAGTGAATCGTGTCTTTTTATTTTACTTTAAAATTTTATATTCATCATTGATGTTATTTGATAGATATGATAAGAGAATTTGACAAGTATAAATTTTGCTAAAAAAAAACTTGATAAAAGATTATTAAATTTAAAGTTATTAGATGATTCTAGAGATGCTTGTTGAACATAATATATAGTGACGGAAGAAGTTATTATTAGGCAAGGGCATTTTGATTATAATTTTACATGAAATGATTTATTCATTGAATTTGCTTTTGTTTGAATCGTTTGAATTTGTGTCAATCGGATGACTGTTCGGATGATCACCTAGATGACCAGTTTCACCCTCGACTATCGCTGACGTAACCCTATCATTCGAATAATCGATTTGACGACTGACATGAGCAAATTTAGACAATTCAAGTGGCACCAAATTCGATAAATATAGTGTTGCTCTAGTTTTAGTCTCCAGAAAATTAAAGGATTGGAGCCCAATTTCTACTCTTTTTTTTTATGTACTATACTAAGTGAAACTTATGATGAGGGGGCTTTGTTTATCTATTTTTTTAAAAAAAATTACTTTAACTCATATAAAAGGTGTAAGAAGAAATTTGAAACAAGTTTGGATTGAAAATTAGGCTTGGATGGGCCTAAATGTTTAGTCTAGCAAAATAAAACACAATGATTTAAGCATAAATATTGCGACAAAATTGATAGAAAATAAACTAACTAGCATGGGATTTCAGATTATATAGAGCATATAAAATAAA